TTGGAAGGGCGGGCACGTGCCGAATAATTGTGGGCCCGGGTACTTGTCTGTGGGGCCCTCGGATCTGGCCCATGTGACCGGCCCGAGCTGGTCACCACGTGGATTTAACCGGGCAAGCCACTAATCCATGCTTTTAGGTCGTTGATTACACACTTAGATAATCAACACCGAGCTTAATTGTATATGGACCGCACGTGTGGCGTACCGATACCATACGTAATACCGGCGTGGCGTACGATCTTTTTCGGTCCGAGCTTCATTTTTACGTTGACCGTAAAATTTAAAAAAAAAAAACCTTAGAGAATGGGATCACACGTGCGGACACAAGGGCATCTAGCTGTATCTGCTCTTTCAAGATATCACAATCATGGAAATGGGTATTGAATTCAATAATAGGAGAGAATCCTAAGTAAATTAAGATTAGTAAACTCGATTATCCCATTTTCGAAGAGCGTATCGGTTAACTCGTGATTTAAACCAATCGTAATTAATTCCGCGCAGTATAAGGTAAAAGCCCCGTTTCGTTCGATGACACAAGTCGAATACTGTAATGTTCGCGACTAGCTTAGGCAGTCCTCTAAATACGGTACCCGATTACTTTAATGTTAAATATTTTTTTTCCTAAGCCAAGTGGTTTCAATAATTGGCTTAATTATCATCACAATCCAGTTAATGGGGGAATAATTGGCCTGGCATATCATGTTTACATCATTAGCAATGATGATTCAGAAGCACGTGAAAATAATGGACAATAATCTGTCCGGGGGACATCATGATTAGGGGCCTTTACTTTCTTGCCTAATCACATCATTACTCACGAGATCATGGCGAGGAATCTCATAAGATTCAGTTTAATTCCTCGCTTTTTTTGTAATCGAGGAATGGCACCTGCACGAGATTTTCTAATTTTTCAAAATATGGAAAGCCCATAAACGTTTTTCCTTCCCTATCGTCTAAACAATCGATCAATCAATGAAAATTGGTCGACCTTCGCCGGCTTTTAGGCCTCGTTTGGTTTAATGCGGAATCGGATTTCGTTGGGAATGTGATTTCGGATGAATTATAATTCCTCGAAATATTTGCGGAATTGAATTGCCTATGATTAGCATCGGCATTGCACTTCCACGTTTCTATTACCAGAAAACTACCAAAAACCTTGTTCCATTACCAATGTCATTAGTTGTAGGTCACAGCAGTAGTTGCAATGATTGCCTATCATCGATTTTCGCCGTCGGTACGAAGTATTCTTCAAGAAGGCCAAAACTCTTTCTTGTCATTCGAACAAGGAAAAATGAATCTTACTTCAAGGACTGATATAATTTGGGATGGAAATCGATTTGAAGATTCTTTATTCATGGAACCAAACGAGACCTTATTTGTAGAGAGATGTCTTCTCCAACGTGGCCGACCCGCCATGTGGTTATCGAGAGTTTGATGTGAACGCCCAAATTCTTGATCCTCTAACGGGTTAAGTGCACTTTAATTTTCTAAATTTCAGCGTATGTGCAATTTGATCTTCTATCTTATATATGTTGTTCATCAAATCCTTCGGCCAATTTCTCTCACTAAAGCCTTAGTTTAGTTAATGACGCGGCATTGTCCTTGGGATAGAAAATGCCGCACGATGATAAGGTAGAGCGAAATGAGCAAAAAATATATTGAAAAAAAAAAAGGAAAAAAGAAACCCTAATTTGATGATATTAGTCACAACAAATAAGCGAAGCGTTTGATAGCATAAATCGAGAACAAAATCGAGAACGAATCACTCAAATCGAGAACGACAGAGAACTTGATCACATAAAATAGAAGTTAGAGGGCCAAGTCGCATAAAAACTGAAAATTGGAGGGCTAAAACCGCACTCAAACCTTTTCCCAACTTTGGAAGAAAGAGTTTCTCGGGAACGTGCCATTCAGCAACCCCATTTTACCGAGCTAGAAACCTTGGTTTAGAAGCATGAATGTGTTCAGAAAGAACACGATATGTACAAAACAGTGAGAATGCAAAAATGACAAAACGTTAAAAATGGATGTGCCCAGAATCTGTGTTCCTTTGTGAATCCTCAAATGAAAGGAGTAATAAATGGCCGTGTTTTAGGAATGGAAGCTGGTTCTCTTGGGCCAAAACTGGAATGCCTATGGTAAGTGTGCTTATTATAGTCCGACAATCTAGGAAAATTTTTAACGTCAGGACAGATGAATTTAGGCCGGCCCAACACGACAGAGACTTGTACTCCGAATTGGATCAGAGGCTGCTAGGTTAAGTTTCCTTTGCTTGTGTAATGACCACATAAACGGACTTGGGTCTGTCTTACAGGTGAAGTGAAATGTCTTCTTGTTAAGTACCAACCCTACACGACTCCAAATTTCGTTCACCACCGGCAGGGTTGGACTGATGGTAAATACCCTCGCCGTGCATCCGCAAAGGTCCGGAGATCGGTCTGCCAATGATCGTGCCCTCCTCTTGCATTTCTTTAGCAAGCTCCAACCTCAAATCTGCGCGCGCACAGATGTACTGAGCCTTGGCCCTCGTCAAGTTTGAATTACAAGCTTCGCAAATGTACCGAGCGGTCATGATTTGATTAGGATGTTGCGTTTGCGAAGGTAGAGCTCCGATGGTCACAACCCGTGCAGAATGCCCGCATCCGCCGCCCCATTCCCTCTTTTAATTGCCATAAAAGAGAGACTCCTTGACCTTATTCTCTTCATGATACCCATGGACAAGCATGCCCAGGTACATGAGCTGTTGAAAGCACAGACTCGCATTGACTTTTGCTCTTTTAAAGAAGTTCTTAAGTTAAGGGACATTATGGAACTAAACAACAAACGCGTAGTTTACTATTAGCCGGACTCGAATGATCATGTGTTTGACCTAGATCAAGTTTCACATATATATACTATTCCTACTTTTAACTCCACCATTCAAGGCTCTAGATAGTTTATTTCTTCCTTCTAAGCGACTCTGAGAGAACATCGTTTGTTCTGCTTATTTTTAAGATCATTGTCAAATGGATCTTCGCCGAAGTTTCCAAGCTCGAGTTTTCAAAAGTAAGAAGATTCGAGAATAGTACTATTCTACGTCAATACAAGCTACCGGTGGCCGCTATAAAGCATTAGTATGCAATGGGAACTTCTTATTCTTCTTTTATTTTTGCCCAACTAAAGACCAGGCCGTAAGAATTGAGACATTGACGGTCAGAGAGCTATTAAAATCTTACGCGTGTGGGCATCCAAAGTTCCAACTCTCAATCCTCCATGCGACATCATTGCTGCAGCTGTAGCAGGAGGAGGAGGCGGGGGATGAATTCGGTCTCCCCGGAGACATCTCACACAATTCCAAACAGAGGAATTTCAGTTTCTCATCGCGAAAATGCCTTCCGGCGATGCCCAAACCTTAACAAATGATCAACAAAATCTTGCAGACAAGAAAATGTACTTAATTCGTCAACAACATTTGAGTGCGCCCAAGAAGAAAAGGAGTTTATTTCTTCCACAGAAATCGATTAAGATATAGTCACCGATATGTGCAACCAATACACAAGCCTCGATGGCGCATATCATTGCAGCATTTAGATCTCCGGCTAAATAATCAGATGAACAGTTCAGCAATCAGGTGCGCGTGCCACATCCGATTCAGATAAGCATATGCGGAGTCTTTATGCATGGAGGTATTGCATGGTGAAGATGAGACAAACAATCATCTATCTTATGGATAATGAGATGGACATTGACATCTATGGGGAAACTGTTCATGAACCTGGATTTGCCTCTCAGGGAAATGTCCCACTGCAAGTAACTGCTCTGAAAAATAGTCGAGGTGGCTGAACCGGTGCATGCTCGAAGAAAGTCTAAAACTCAAGAACAGTTCTAGCAAACCTAGCTGCAGTTCAAATTATTCATGGACGTAATCAAGACACCACACATGATGGATCTTGTACTCCAGTAGGATAAGGACCTCGAGAGATATCCATGGCCTCAAAAGGCATCATGACACGAGAATTCACCGAAACGTGAGATTGAATGAAAACTGCCCTCCCTAGAGCCAGCAAATAAGGTAAGATCCTCAAGTTCATCACTATTTCCGAACATGGATATCGGTTGCTCAATAAGCTCGAACCCAAAACAACCGTCAACTGATATTAAGAAAACCCAGGCATAAGGAAATATAATAATATGCCTTCCAATAAAACGGAATCAGATTTTTTGGAAAATTCTTAGCCGAAACAGATTGAAGGAAAACAATGGAAGATGAAAAGTGTCTCTGTATTTATATTTTCTTAAGCTAGTGCTTTTCAGCAAAAGAAAAAGCTTCGATACAGTGTCGTGCACGTGAATGTATCCACGCCCAGACTCTGAACTCATTTGCGATCATCAACATGGTATTTCCTATATTAAATGAGTAGAGACAGAGCTGAAAGAGGTCAAAACAGCAAAGAGTGCCTTAAGATCATTAGATGGTCATCATATCTACCGATAAATACTGAAAGTTGGCAAAACTATTTGCAAATGTTGAAGAGTTTTTCCACGTTTTGAACCTCAGGAATTAAATGAAAGGGACTGTCCAAAAGAGAATGCCTAATAGATGTCTAAAAAATTATTCCGAAAGGAGATAATTTTCTGATGAGCAGTGCTTCTGATAACAACGTACAGAACCACAGACATGAAATCTCCTCCGCATTTTAAAGCGCATGAAGAACATTCACACATGGGAGATTATTCAATTGTGTGATGGGCACTTCTAAATACAAACATGATCACCCATTTCATTAATGCAAGACAGATAATACATACACCGGCCTATAAATCATAATAACTATCAAATTGTGATGGGTCCGCAATGCCAAAGGAAGGTAAATGCAGTAAGCGCAGACGGGGCTTTTATTTTCCCAAGTACACCTTGCTACTCTGCTATGTTCTGTCAGTATACGTAGCGATATGAAGAAGCCCGTTAAGAACTTTTATCTATTCAACCAACATAGTATCTCCAAACACAATCAAAGGGAGATCATAATGAACAAAGTATAGCATAAATTACCCGATATATGCTCTGCTGATTCATCCGCAGCCCCTATTTTCACATTTGCATGTGCTACTTGCAATCGCTGAACATTAATAAACCAAACTTCTTTACCCAGAAAACACCTAGTAGGGAAAGTAAATTTAGATGGACAAACAAAAAAAATTGAACAATAACTTCGTCCCTTTTCCTAATCTGATACTTTTCCCTTTCCTGTACCCATTAACCAAATTTTACCTCTAGTTGATGTGTGAAAGCGCCCGATGCTTATGAACCTCCACACAGGCTTTCAAGCATCACGACTTCTGGCTCTGGAACACCTTCTATCTCTGCAATATACGCCTTCAATATCAAAGCTCTCGGGGTAAAGACGCCAAGAACTCCAGAGCATGCCAATTTGGTTGAGAGCGAGAAAGAGAGACCTCCAGCTCAGGAAATGGGCAAGATATTCTCCCTCAGCGCAGACTATCTCTGCACAGATGAGAACTCAAACTTCATTGGCGAAACCATATAGGCCACAAAACTCATTAACTTTCAAACACCGCAAGTTCATACAGAGACAGTAACATACTTTTCGAAGTTCTAGCAGAGAGAGAGAGAGAGAGATACCTTGGCCGGAGCTTCGGCCACACGGTAAGCATCTGCTGTGAGCCCCACCAACCATAAACCAGGAAAAACAATCTGCAAGCAAAAACCAAAAGAAACGAACAGAAAATCCCGTTTGTTCAACTACGGCACGAATTCATCGTACGAAAGGCCAATGAATATCCCACATAGAACATACATCGAGCTGCTTCTGCTCGTTCTTGGGCCTCTTCCTAGGCCTCCGGGCAGGCCTCGACCCCGTCATGATGAATATGTCCTCCTCGATCTCCTCCTTCGACAGCGATATCCAGAACTTCCTCTTCTCCTTCCTCTCTCCCTCCTCCGCGAAGCCCCGTAACCGCACGGATTTCGGCTGCGGCGGCTGCGCGTAATTCTCCTTGTCCCCGCCGAACGCACCGTACGCGGCGTCGGGAAACGACTCGCCGTTCCTCCACGGGAGCGGCGGCGGCGGAGGATTCGCCGCCCGCCTCGGCCTCAGATTCCACGGCCGCCGCCCCGCCGCTTCGGCCTCCTCCGCCTTGCCGCCCCCGGCCGCGCGATCCTGGCGCTCCCCTCCGGGGGCGGCGGGAGCTGCTCGGAGGGCGCGGGGATGCGGCCGGGGCTGCGGGACGGGCGTGATCCGACGCGCGGCGGCCGCGATTCGGGGTCGGGGTCGTCGTCGGGGGCGGCGGCGGCGGCGGGGGAGGGGGGGAGGAGGAGCCGGCCGTGGCGGGGGGAGGGGGGCGGCGGTTGCGGTGGGGGTGGGGGTGGGGGTGGGAGGGGGAGGGGGAGGGGGAGGAGGAGGAGGAGGTGGCGCCGCCCCAGCTGAGGAAGGAGGGGAGGGAGAAGTTGTGGAGGGGCTGCTGCGACTTCACCGGCGCCGTCGCCATAACAAGCTACGCGACCAGGCCGGGGGCGGACGGCTCCGAGCGAGAATGCCGCCGAGGGGCGCCGCGGGCAACCGGAGCGCCGAGGCTGCAGATGAAAGAGTCGAGCGAGGGTAGAGAGAGAGAGAGAGGATGAGAGGTGGTATGTTTTGGAGGAGGAAGGAGGAGAAGGAGGAGGAGGAAGAAGGCAGAAGCAGCATGCGAGAGAGAGAGAAACGAAGGCTTATATTGCGTTTGATTCTGTGTGTGTGTGTATGGGAGAGAGGCAGTTTTGCGGGCGTTTGGGTTTCACCTCCCCCCACGTGCTTTTACGTTATTGCCCCCCACAACGCCTTTCCATATCGTATATAATATATAAACAAAAGCATTGGTGTTGGACCAGAAGGGCTCCCTCCATCCATGGGTTGTTTTTTTTTTTAAGGGGCAGATTTCTCCCTTCTCCGAACGGAATTTCGTTCGATAACGACACGGTTTCTCCCTCTCGCACATTTTTTTTCCCCATTCATCAACCGGGTGGGCAACGGCGGGAGGTGGGGGGTGGCGGCGGCCGGCAGTCAACGGGGGGGCCGGCGGTGAGCGACGAGAAGGGTTTTTATTTCTTGTTTTGTTCCGGAAATAGGAAAAGTCATTTCTGTGTTTCAAACCAATTTCTGGACTGAAAAATTGTTACGCAAAATTGAAAAGTGAAGTTGCATTACCAAAACGGATTTCTGTTCCAAACCCGTTCCCGAAAAAAAAAAACATAGAGGAATAATTTGGTTACCATGCACACCCTAAGATATCCACAACTCGAATGGAAACCTTGTTTCAATTTACCAGAGTTGCTCCTTTTCAAACTCCGTTCGAGATTCATATTTTAATTCAGGTTCGCCGGTCATGTCTCGGAAGCACTTGTTAAGAATGAGAAGGTTGGGAGCGATCGCAGCATGCGTCTTTTCGCATTCTTGGAATATGTTATGTTTTTTTTAACTTAAGTTTGCCCTTCAGAGATTGCCCATTGGAATTAAGCATGTATTCACAAGCATTTACCTCTCTTTTAGCTTCAAGAATGACAATTACTTGATATGTGAAGATGGCAAGCCAAGATTTTGCTCATACTGGTCCATCGACAAGCGGAAATTGGATTCGCTTCACGTAACAACCGAAAATCTTCCGCTTTCTCTGTTTGTTTCGCGTGAAATGAATGATTTGGATAATTTTTTGCTAAAGACAATCGCTAATATCGCCTGAAATAATTGGTTAACGGAAAATGTTTTCATCATTAACAATTATGTCTAAACATTTATTTGGACGATGAAAATATTTTCGTTCATTCATTTTTGTAAGTGATGAAAGCGATTGTTCTTAGGAAAATATTGTCTAAATCATTCATTTTCCGTGTAACAAACGGAGCCTAACTCCTACGGAAAAAGTGTCCAGGAAATTTTAAAATGAGCAGAACAAGATTGGCTAAGTGGTCTAGTCGTCAATAGGGGTGTGCATTCGGTTGGTCAACCCAGGAACCAGATCAAACAAGCCCTACTCGGCCAATTCAAGGTCAGTTCGGATCCTAGTTCCAAATTTTTTTAACCGATCTTGACTGGTTCAATTCCTAGTCCGGGATCTTGAACCGATAATTCTACCTGACGGCCTTACAAGGCCGGTTCCACCCTAGAGAACATGTATTGAACCGAGATCTTAACCCTAAATTCAATTCCTAGTCCAGGATCTTAAACCTAAATTCTCTCTTTTAGACTATTATTGTCCCCTCTATCGCTCATGACTTGCTCTCTCGCCCTCCGTCTCTCTCTCGTTTCTCACTCTCCGGTCTCCGTTGTTCTACTCCACTTTGGCGGCTCCACACTATACTCCGGCGACTCACTCCAACATTCAATCCGGCATCTCCACTCACTCCAGCACTCACCGATTGTTCACCGGTCGCACCACTCCGGCGAACACAAGGCTTGGGATTTTTCACTTTCCTCTTTTCATTGTTGGATCCATTTGCAGCTTCATCTTGAACAACACTCATCATCGTCGAAAGGTAAGTCGCCTGAGATTTTTTGTCCCTTGTCCCTTCGTTTTCTTCCATGGATTTCTCGATTTTTGTTAGTTCATTATTTTTATCGGGGCTGAGCTCGCTTCATGTTTGTTTGTTTGTCTAAGTTGGAGATGGCTCGTGGATCCTTAGTAGACTCGGTTGTTTTGGAGAAGTTGATTCATTGTAGTGGCAGCCATTTTGCTTGCTCTTTGTATCCTTTACGTTAACTCATGTTTACATCGATTGGTCATAAATATGTTAGGACTAATATGCACTCGTGTGCAGGTGTGAAGTTTAAGAACATGAAAAGAAAAAGAAAAAGCCATGGTTGGTTCTTGGGTTTAACTCGAGAATCGGCTGGTTTCGGTTCGGTCCCAGTATCAAAATGGTCGGTTCCATTCCCAATTCAACAAATCGGGAAACGACCATGAGAGTATAGGTTTCAAGATGGGAGGTTCCAAGTTTCGGTTACGAACACCATCCACCTTGGAAACCAATCTTATGTAGTCTTGAGAATGGGCTGACTAGTAACATCATCTTTTGCTCGACGTTTGTAGACATATTGATTATTAATGAGCTACACGTTTTCATTCATGACAAGGGCTTCCAAAAAAAAAAAAAGGTAACTATTTTGCAAAACGCCGGCAGAGGGAGAAAAAACGACAACAAAAGGGGGGTGAACTTTTTTTATTTATTTATTGGTATGCCCTACTCTCACTCTCAACTCATTCTCAGACTTTTGCCTTGCCTCTTGTAAGGGCGTAAGAGTCGAGAACTCATATCTGAAACTATACGTCCACACCCCTAACCCTCTGAGAATGTGGGAATTCGAACTCTCCACCTCCCCCTTCCCAAGTAGAAAGGGTGGCTACCGAGGCAGACCCAGTGATGGGGAGTCGCATGGTTCGATCGATGCGGGTCGCAATCGATTGTCGGTGGGGGCTCGGGTCGGGCTCCATGAATTGCTAACCCGGCCCGACCTGCGGAGCTAGAGCCGGCGATCGGATTTCCCCTTTTCTTAATAACTCAAAATATCCGAACTTAGGGGGCCCGACTAATTCCCTTGTTGCACGCAGATCGTCGGTACCCTTTCCGTCCACGTTCATCATTTCTCGTCATAATCTCGTTGTCACACTTGAGACATGTATACGTTACATCCCAAACGCATGCATACCCATAAATGACAATATCATTTGGTTTTGAAGTCTATCGCTAATATTTAGTCCCAGGAGAAACGGTGATTCGATCACGCAAGTCGCCACATCACCGTCTGACATTTCGTCGCTCAGCCGATCTTTGAGAAAGATCGAGGGATAGCTGTATTGGAAATCCTAAAACTTGTTATGAAAGTGCAATTGAGTCTTTTAGCCCAAAAAAAAAAGTGCAATTGAGTCTTAAAAACTAGTTACCAAGTGCTATTGAGTTCTAAAACTTTCAAAAAAATGCAATTAAATCTCAAAACTTATCAAATTGGTCCAATCGAGTCTTTCTGTTGATCACACTTTTTGAAAGTTTTAGAACTCAATTGCACTTTCATGATAAGTTTTAGGACTTTTAGTGCACTTATCCCAGAGATCAATCTCTGTTTACTCTGTTGCGAAAAGTAATTAGGACGAGTTCGTAGCTAAACTCGAATACAAAAGGCCGGAAAATACAATTGAGATGATGAAAATGGTGGTGATGATTATTATCAGTATATAGCATTAAAATGACCCCAAGCCCATCAAAATGGACCGGCACCTAAAATGAGCTGTTTTTCATTTTAATAAGATATGGTTTTTAACTTAAAATCGTGCACCTGGATCAAACCAATCTAGAGGGAGACCCCGACGGGCGGGACTCCTTTTTGGTCAACTTGCGCATTCTCCGCTGTCAAACAGATTTGTTATTTTTCACGTCGCTCTTTATAATCCAATACTACATGTCAATGCTCTTTTCTTTATTTTACTGAAATTGTTTGACGTTCTTGTTTTGTCTAGGAAGTGATCAAATTGACCACCCTCTCTCACTCCAATTTGGCAATCGAGTCATCGGTATTTTACTGTGTACAACAAGGGCATTTCAAATTTCATGCTCGTACTCCTCTCGGACGCACGGAATTATCGCTAAAGTTCTACTTGTAATGCCGAAAGGAGTACGCACATGAATTGTATTATTCAAATTACGCACGGAATTATCTATTGATACGTAAAGTTCTAATTGTATTGCCAGATCGGTTGGGCCAATTCGTTGCGAAGGGCCAATCCAAGATGCGGGTTTCATGTCATTAACTTTGATTTTGGCACAAGAAGGACAGCGACAGCGACACTTCGTCCTCTGACTCGTTCGTTCGTTCACCATTATTGTTATTATGATTATTTTAATTTTATGCAATCTTTTCGTTGCGTCGAAAGTCTGATCCAGGAAGCTTTCGAGCTGAGACGATTTAACACGCTTTTCTCTTTTTTTGGGGGGGTGAAATTGAATATTGCCTTTTCGCCTTTTACCCTATCTGTTCGAGTAATTAAATATTAAACAATGTCTTCATCTAATAATTTAAATTTCTAGAACAATTTATCGTGGTCTCACAAAATTTAATATAATATAAGAACAGAAGGTCCTGAGTTCAAATCTTTCTGTACCTCCATTTGCTAATTAAATACAATCTGAGTCGATTCGGTGTGTTACATGGATTTAATTTAGCGTCTTAAACTGCATTTGTTTCGTGGAAAATGGCTTATTTGAAAAAAAAAAATTTCTAGAAAATATTAATTTCCTTTGCTTAAAATAATAACTGAATAGAAAACTTTTCATTATCGACAGCAATTTATGTCTCGATAT